TTCCCCCCCAGCAACACCCAGCCATGGCCCCCTCAGAGTGCCCTCCCATGTTCCCCCTCAGCAACACACAGCCATGGCCGCCTCAGAGCACCCCGACATGTCGCCCCTCAGCAACACACAGCCATGGCCACCTCAGAGCGCCCTCCCATGTTCCCCCTCAGCAACACACAGCTACGACCGCCTCGGAGTGGCCCACCATGTCCCCCCTCAGCAACAGGTGCTCTTAAGCAACTTTGCCTCCATGCAGAGGTGCAAATTTAGTGATTTGCCTTGAGTTTGCCTTCAGGACAGATAGACATAAATATAAGGAGGCCCTGGCAAAGTTTACGTTCGGGGAACAAAATTTTAGGGGCAGGTGTTTCAATTCACCTTGAAGCCCACCACGCGGCCTCATGCGGTTTGTCAGGAATTGATTAGATCGCAACCAACTTCAGTCGCAAGCCAAGTTTGCTTGCGTTCATCCTGCAGATACCGCATCACGATTAAAAATGCCCAACTGTTTCCTCCTTTAGCAGCTTTCTGACACAAGCTGTTGGCTGTAGACTTTCAGCTGCCTTTCTTTCTCCTTCTCTCACATATGTTCCCGGCACTGTGTTTTGAAATACAAGAACGATTTTGCAGCAATAGGGCTACACAATCTCACTGCACAATCCAACTTCTGCAGCTGAAAGGACAGGGAGTTGCAGGCGGCAGTGTCCTCATCGAAAGGAGGGTAGAGGGAGGAGGAACAGTTTCTAACCAGTTTAGAGATTGTCAGGGGGGTTGCGTTTTTTGGGGTGGAACGATGCATTGAAGTTAGAGTGATGTTGCGCTCACGTGCTGGAATGAGGGTTCGTTACCTAATTTTGTGATTCAGGGTCATACAGTTCCGGTGGCTGTATAATTATAGGATGAGACCATTAAAGGTGTGACTAACCAAGGAAAGAAAAACAGCCCTGAAGTCTATGAATGCTCTATCCATCACATCACTGTCCAGGGACAGCAGGTGAGACATAGAGGATGATCATCAGAAGGCTGATACATCTGAAACTTAAACTAGCAATCCCGAATCTCTGTTTCAACAGAATTCTTTCTTATTTAAATGAATGCCTTTGAAAGAACATTTTCCGGGCTGAGGAAATCCCGCCACGCTCTCAGAATTGTACCTCAGGGGCTGCCGCAGGCTGTGTGGCTGCGGGCAGGGGGGCAAGCCCCGGTGAAACCGCGTAGCGTCGTTTTTGGGGTGTGCAGGTGAGTCCCGGTGGCAGGGCCGACAATACCGAGCGCTGCGTGTCGTGCGGTTTTCATCCACGCTACCAACTGTTAGCAGGGCTGCAGCTCAGGCTGAAAGCATCCATATGGTGCTTAGGAAGAGCCACAATCAGAGTATCTGCTGACAGGCTGGGCTATCACATATTCCGCTCATGAATAATCTGCAGAGACTGTGAGAAGGAAAACTTAGATCCACACCGAGACTCGCTTGACCTTTCCCTCCTCGTCTCAGCCTTCGCCTTTGTCTGCATGTCGACAGCACAGACAGTTGGCGAGTCTGGATTTGAGAAAGGTGTTAAGCGCAGTTGGAATGACAGCATGGACATAGCCTTTGGGACCAGCTCTGCCTAAGCGCGATTCTCCATCCCTAGTGCGAAAATGCTGCTTTTGAAAATGCTTTTGCTTCAAACTTGGTGACTACGCTAGAACACGGCCCTTTAAAAATCTAGCCCACAGAGCATTTTTATTCTAGTCTTAGAACACTTTACAAAGCATTTAGTCTGAAGAAGAGAAGACATAACTGAAGGGGGACATTATATCATCTTCAAATATGCAAAAGGGTGCTGCAGAGCAAGAGGGAGTTAGCTCTTCTCTGCATTCAGTGAGTCTAGGACAAGAAATAATGAGCTTACATCTTGGAAAAGGCGATAGAATAGGCATTGGGTTAAGGGTAAGAATAGCTGAGCACCGCAACAAATTGCCTAGGAAAGCAGTGGAATAGTCACCATCGGATATTTTTATTTAACAAGAAATTAGTAAAACATCTGTTCTGAACAATTTAGGGAGAATTGTTCTCCGCTCAGGGAGAAGGATGGGGTAAATAATCTCTTACAATACCTGTCAGCCCTAGTTTTTCATGAAGCAAAAGAGATGTGATTTGCCCAGACTTACAAAGCAGGTCAGAGCACAAGCTGGCTTTGCATTCCAGCTCAGATCCTCGTGTCTGCACCCTATACAGCAGGATATACTAAATCTTAAGTCTGAAGTAAAGAAAAGCCAGGCTTTCCCAACTGTTATCTCTTCCAGAAGGTTGGGGGTTTTTTTTGTTAAAAAGCCAGTGTGAATGGTGACTCCGAACCCCAGCTGATATTTACAGCATTTCCCTGGGGAAAAACTCCCACTTTTCCTGTTTTTTTTTTCCGTATGAGCTGCCTCACAACAAAGTGAGTGTATTTCACAATCAGAATTATAAACCATCCTCTCATTTCTCTGGTACAACAGTACTGAAAAGGCTTTTTACAGTGTATAGACAAAGCTATTCCTCTGCAGTGCTACACCCTTGCTGGAAGACAGCACTTCAGTGTCTCGGGCTATTAGCTCAGCAGCTGTCAGCAGTATTAAATTCACCAGAAACATGGAGAGAAAATCCCCATAAAAAAAAAGGAAGGACACTGTGCTGAGAGTAACTTGCATTTAAACCCGAATCAAAATACCTTCCCTCAGTTATTTTCTCATGAATTGTTCTTATTGATCTAGCTCAGCTAAAGATCAGTGTGGGCCTTGATTTTTTTAATGCTGTGTGCAGCTATTACCCAGCTACTATTGGAGATTTTCAGATAGACTCAGATTG